TTTACGACTCCATCCATACTTACACAATATTCGCAAGCACACAGGAGAATGGGAATGCAATGTGTTAGGACCCACCAGTGTGCACAAAAGGCAGACGCAGCCTCCAACAGAGCTTCCCGCTATCTGGCTACCTAACCAAGAATCTAGCTCCATAACTCCCCTCTAGTCTTCATGAGGAGGTACTCGGGCACTAATGCTGCCGCATTAGTCTCCTGAATGTGAACACCATGTTTAAAACTCTTATTACTATTACAGTAATGTAAGTACCAAAGCTTTATTTAAAAAAACTACCGTATTTTCCAGACTATAAGTTGCTCCGGAGTGTAAGTCGCATCAGTCAAAAAATGCCTCATGAAGAGGAAAAAAAACATATATAAGTCGCACCGGACTATAAGTCGCATTTATTTATTATTATTATTTATTACTTCGGCCCATGGGGATATCAAACGCGAGGGGGACCTCGTCCATGTTGATAATATGATCCGGTGACACGTTGTGTTCAGTTACCTGCTTTTCAACGAACTCAAGAAAACTGTCAACCTTGGCTTGGAAGTCTGCTGACAGTTTCTGACACACCGTTGTCCGTTGTCCGTGCTCTGACAGAGAGGCAGTTACGTTGCATGAAGCGGTAAAACCAAGAAGGCCCGCCTGCAAAGTCATTTATATTCATCTCCTTTGCAACTACCAGGGCGTGGAGACGTAACTGCAATGTTGACAAGCCTCTCCCGGCAGCACGTTGTTCAAGCACCCATCTGTGGACTCGTTCCTCCAGCTCTGGCCATCTTGCTTTCAGCCTGCGATTAACGTACTGGCGCTAAACACCGTTCGGCTCTGAGTGCTGGTTCTTTGTTTTCTTCATTGCAGTAAGAGTAACCTCTGCTTTTCGCCAGTCCATCACAAGTTTCTCACTCCAAACTGTCTTTCTGCTGCTCGTTTACTGTTTTCGGCTGCATATTTTGCTACCATCAGTTTGTAATCTGCAGAGAATGACTTTCTTTTGGGGGGGCAAATTTTGTTTGTGTCAAGCCTAGAGCGCCTTCTCGGGGCTGTGGACGGTAATGTTTAGGCTACTCCTCGTTTCATGTCGGAATTATTATTCAAAAACATGTTCACATATAAGTGGCACCTGACTATAAGTCGCAGGACCAGCCAAACTATGAAAAAAAGTGCGACTTATAGTCCGGAAAATACGGTAATCTACAAACTCCAGGCAATCAACTGGTCCTCAATCAACAGTAAGCAGATTTGAGGGGTAATAGATTACACGTAACTGAGTTACATTACCAAATCCTTCAAATTACGAACTATTAACAGTAGTTGTAGTTATTAATTTAATTATAAATCAGAATTTCAAATAGTTTAGTGTATGACTAAATCAATTAAGTTTTAGCGAAGTTTGTTTATTTTTAAATATTTTTATTGTCAGAATGTTGTGTTTTTTTTATTCCTTCAATCTTTTGCTGTGATGTCATCGGTATGTCATGATGTCAGAGATCAAAGACAATAGAATGTTTCTTTGATACAAAGGCGAACATTCTGTCTGCAGATGTATATATAGGATCGAAAACCAACATCAGTTCAGACTCACTTCGAACACAAAGACAAACACTGGAAGCACAGATTCTTCAGGACTTTGAATCCAAGGATATTAACGAGATGGATCAAGACACAATGGAGAGTCTTCGTACACACATCAGACAGTGTCTGGAGAAGCTGACAAACATAGATTGGTCGCTTCTCAAATCCGGGTCACTTGATGCGAAGACCGAAGAGATTATTAATAACATGTGTGTGGATATCGTTAATACGATATTCATCCACATACATGGGGTGTTTAGACAGCGCGAACAGAAGGAGGGAGACATTCCTAAATCCTCCAAAAGCTCTTCTGGGTCGGCCGGATCACAGAAGAGCCATGTATCTGAAGATGATGTCCGCGGGTGTCTGGAGGACTCCATCTCTCTGGCCTTATCCGAGGCCACCGGTGTCCCAGACATCAGTTCCCGAAGCACGGAAAAGCTGACGGACACTGTGATTACAGAGGTCACAGAGAGAGTTAATATGCTCTCTAAAACCTCTGAAAGTGGTGGAGTCATTGAGGGGAGCAGACCTCTTATCTCTCACTCCTTCACCCTGAGACTACAGGTAATGGTCCGACACGCAGCCAGAATCTTTAAAAAGTGCGCCATTAAGAAGGCCCAGCAAAGCCTCACAACGGAGGTTGCGGAAGACATCCTAACAATAGAAAATTTGCCAGTGGAGGAAATTGCACTAATTGGAACGGAGGAGTCGTGCAACACCCCCGTTGTTCCTTCTCTTGATGAGACAGGAACAGAGTCTCAGATGAGCTTTGTGGACAAAACAATCAAAGTCGTAAAAATCCTGATGCAACAAAGGGCCAAGACCATAAGACCAGTTCACTATAACGTCAACATTTCGGAGGAAGAAGGCGAGATGTTTGAGTCTGAATCTTCCCAGGACGTGGAGGAGTTGGCCTCTGCGATTGTCAGGGAGACAATCGTGGAGCTTAAAATAGACTCAGAAGGTACACTGCCGGAATCGCTGGCTGTACCCGAGAAGACGTCCCACTGGAAAACAGTGGAAGCCAAAGTTAAGGCATTCTACGCTCAGCGTTATGCCATGGGGTCACTACTTGGCCTAATGGCAAAATTGAGGCGTGATTATAAATGCCCCCCAGAAGAACCGTCTTCTGTGAGTGAGCTGATGGAGGAGGCTGATCTGGTAATTAGAAGCATCATATCATTAAATGAAGAGGATCTAAAGATGGCCACGGAAGACATGACCCCTGACGAGATAATCAATTCCGTCGGAAGCGGTCAAGACAACGCAGCTGGCATAGAGCTCGGCAATATAGTTTCCCAACACTTACAGCCAGAGGTTCCCATGGAGGACTTCCGCTTCACAATACAGGGCGACGTGGACTGCTTTATGGGGCAGATTAGGCAATGGCTTACCAGGCAGCTGATACGCCACAAAACAAAGAGGGACCACGCAAGTCTCGTCGTGAAAAAAATCAGGGAGGTGATCTGTCACACGTCGCCTGCTGAGACCCCCTCAGTCGTGGGAAGTTGCGGCGCGACACCTGTAGGAAGTTGCTGCACGACACCTCCCACCCCCCGTTCAATCCATTAAGTCACCAATGAAAGCTAAGACTGGTGACACCCTGGTGGTTAACGTAGAATCACCTTCCACCCGCGATCAATCCGTTAAGACACCGATGAAAGCTAAGACTGGTGACACCCTGGTGGTTAACGTAGAATCACCTTCCACCCACGTTAAATCCGTTAAGACACCGATGAAAGCTAAGAATGGTGACACCCTGGTGGTTAACGTAGAATCACCTTCCACCCGTGTTCAATCCGTTAAGACACCGATGAAAGCTAAGGCTGGTGACACCCTGGTGGTTAATGTAGAATCACCTTCCACCGGCGTTCAATCCGTTAAGACACCGATGAAAGCTAAGACTGGCGACACCCTGGTGGTTAACGTAGAATCACCTTCCACCCGTGTTCAATCCGTTAAGACACCAATGAAAGCTAAGACTGGTGACACCCTGGTAGTTAACGTAGAATCACCTTCCACTCGCGTTCAATCCATTAAGTCACCGATGAAAGCTAAGGCTGGTGACACCCTGGTGGTTAACGTAGAATCACCTTCCACCCGTGTTCAATCCGTTAAGTCACCGATGAAAGCTAAGGCTGGTGACACCCTGGTGGTTAACGTAGAATCACCTTCCACCCCCGTTCAGTCATCGGTCAGGGCTGAAGCTGCAGTTGAGACCGCAGCACCAGCAACCCATCAGTGGGACGATACCAGCTGCAGGCTTATGGTCATTGCACTGGTTCGTAAAATTATGGCATGTCCGATACCTCCGCACATTCATGTGACTCTGAATGACACTGAGGCCTTCAACAAGTTTCTCGTGGAGATGCTCTGCAAACAGATCGGAGGCTCCAAGGTCGCTGTGAACCCAAGCGGTCATCACATTAAGAAGGTCGCCAAGGCGGTGCACAAGGAGTTGTGCAAGCTGACAGGCGACGACAAGATCTTGAAGATGTGCCTGCTGTCCCAGGATGCATCTGTTTACAGATGTATTACTGAGACACTAACGAAGCATCTGGTGACGCCACAGAAGAAGACCGGCGTGAACAGATTCTTTTCACGTCTCTTCAAGACTGTGGCCAAGCCATTTGCTGCTTGCATCGGACGCAAAGAGTAATCTTTGACCGGACGCGCGTACTAACTGGGATGACACAGGGTTTACTCCGAGGGGCTTCGGTTCACCCACATTTTAAACTATAATGAAAAAAAAGTATCTCAGTTAAGAGAAGAATTGTCTGGTGGATCGCGACATGGGACATCAGGTATCATAGGGACTGGACACACGTACTAACTGGGATCACACAGGGTTTACTCCGAGGGGCTTCGGTTCGCCCACATTTTAAACTATAATGAAAAAAAAGTATCTCAGTTAAGAGAAGAATTGTCTGGTGGATCGCGACATGGGACATCAGGTATCATAGGGACTGGACACACGTACTAACTGGGATCACACAGGGTTTACTCCGAGGGGCTTCGGTTCGCCCACATTTTAAACTATAATGAAAAAAAGTATCTCAGTTAAGAGAAGAATTGTCTGGTGGATCGCAACATCGGGTGCCATAGGGACCGGACACACGTACTAACTGGGATGACACAGGGTTTACTTAGAGGGGCTTCGGTTCGCCCACATTTTAACCATAATGAAAAAAAAAATATCTTAGTTAAGAGAAGAATCGTCTAGTGGATCGCAACATGGGACATCAGGTGCTATAGGGCCACACAGGTGCCTCAGTGTAACACTGTGGCCTTGCAGCTATAAGGCGAAGGTTCACTTCCAGCATTTGAACCCCTTTTGCTGTGAGGAGTACAGAGTGCTCACCGTGTTGGCGTGGGTTTTCCCCGAGAAGCTTCGGTTTCCTCCCACATTTTAAAAAACAAATGAATGAATAAATAAATAAATAATCTAAAATAAAAACAAACAATATAACATAGAACAAACAATCTGTCTGATAAGAGTCTCACTATGAACTACTGGAAACAGTAAATGTTTTATACTTTCATGTATTACTCCAAGTAGATAGATCAGATCCAGCTGAAGTTTGGTCAGAAGACCTTTCAGATGTTGCTGATGATGTGTAATAATTGTCACGACTCTTCATTTAATGACGTTTCTGTGGCTTGGCGTTGAATTTAGCTTATTTTAACTTATTTTGATGCTTTGAGGCATCAAAGTCTGCTAGCAAGATCAGTTTTTGGACCTCAGTAGTTGTACAGCAATGCTAGTGAAGAAAATGTTGAAAGTATTCTGGGTTAGGGTTGTGAAACTGCAAACTATCTGTATTCATATCTGTACTCAAAAATGGGTGGGGCTTGAATTTGAAGTTGTTCATTTAAGCCTGAAATGGATATGGGTTGAATATAAGTTGGATTTAGTGGCCATTTTGGCGATTTGCACGCTTTGTATTTTAACGAACTCCTCCTAGAGAACTCATCGGATCGACTTCAAATTTACTCAGTATAATGTAAACACAATTACAGTTAAAATTTGTCAAAATCTTGAGTTTTCGCCTAAGGTCGTGTCCGTGGCATGGCGCCGAATCTTGAGGTGTCGCCACAAAACAGGACATTGTTTTAACTTCAGGATACTTTGTCCAATCTGCACCAAAATGCTCATGTTTGATAAGAGCCTGAACACAAAATCAATTTTGATTTTAACGTGGAAGTTTTGTCTAATTTCTGCCGTTTCCTGGTGTTCTAGTTTAGTTTAATTGTTGTTATTATTATTGTTCAATTCTTTAATAAATTTCAGTTTGTCAATGTTAAGTTCAGAGTGCATATCCCTCCTTTGTAGCTAGCTAACAGCAGGACTCTGTTACAACTCAGGAAACTCAGGATTGTATTCAAACTAAAGTCAGAAAACCCAATAATGCAAAAGTATCCAGTGACCGAAGGAACTGACACCGAACCAAGAAAACAAAGACTAAATACACAAAATAAACAAAGACAAGAAGTAAATCAAACAAGACTTGAGTAAACCTATAAAATAAAACAGGAAATAACCAAAGAAAACCCCAAACTTTATTGATTACTTTACAAAAACACAACTTCATCAGTGATTCGGGTGAAATCATATTTTATGGAGAAAATGTCCTGCTCGTGCAACGTTAGCCCCGGGGTGCAACCTCAGAGTGTGTGCGTCACTTACTGACAGCCAGTCGTCTGTCATCGTCCGTCACAACCTCACATCTCTCCAACAGCAGCACCTCCACCAGCTTACCGCCCTGCGCGCACGCACACACACACACACACACACACACACACACACACACACACACACACACACACACACACACACAGGGTTAATGTGTCACAGGTTTCTCTGTGGTTTAGGTTAAAGTGCACACTCTGGCTGTCACCTGTTTGTTGAGGATGAAGAGCAGGTTTCCTCTCAACCGACAGAACCTCTCAGTGAGATCTGCGAAAGAAGACGACAGTTAGAGAACATTAGAGAACATTAGAGAACATAAGGGAACACGTTCCCCGCTGAGAGAGAGAGAGAGGAACCTTTCAGTTCTGTAAAATGTTTCCAGGAAGTAAAGTCAGAGTGAGTCAGGGGATGGAAATAAGACTGCTGCTGACGAGCCGCGGAGCAAGGCAGCCAGAATCAGAGCGGCAGAGTGAGAACACAGGAGAACAAAGGAGACTAGAACAGAACAGACTAGACAGACTAAAACAGTACAGAACAGAACAGACTAAAACAGAACAGACTAGAACAGTACAGACTAGAACAGTACAGAACAGAACAGACTAAAACAGAACAGACTACAACAGTACAGACTAGAACAGTACAGAACAGTATAGACTAGAACAGTACAGAACAGAACAGACTAGAACAGTACAGACTAGATCAGACTAAAACAGAACAGACTAGAACAGTACAGAACAGACTAGAACAGTACAGGCTAGAACAGTACAGACTAGAATAGAACAGACTAGAACAGTACAGAACACACTAAAACAGAACAGACTAGAACAGTACAGACTACAACAGACTACAACAGTACAGACTAGAACAGACTAGAACAGTACAGACTAAAACAGTACAGAACAGACTAGAACAGTACAGAACAGAACAGACTAGAACAGTACAGAACAGAACAGACTAGAACAGTACAGACTAGAACAGACTCGAACAGAACAGACTAGAAAAGAACAGACTAGAACAGTACAGACTAGAACAGACTAGAACAGTACAAACTAGAACAGAACAGGCTAGAACAGAACAGACTAAAACAGAACAGACTAGAACAGTACAGACTAAAACAGTACAGAACCGAACAGACTAAAACAGAACAGACTAGAAAAGACTAAAACAGAACAGACTAGAACAGTACAGACTAAAACAGTACAGAACCGAACAGACTAAAACAGAACAGACTAGAAAAGACTAAAACAGAACAGACTAGAACAGTACAGACTAGAACAGACTAGAACAGTACAAACTAGAACAGAACAGACTAGAACAGTACAGACTAGAACAGAAAAGAACAGTACAGACTAGAACAGACTAGAACAGAACAGACTAGAAAAGACTACAACAGTACAGACTAGAACAGACTAGTACAGACTAGAACAGACTAGAACAGTACAGACTACAACAGCACAGACTAGAACAGTACAGACTAGAACAGTAGAACATGTCTGACCTTTCTCCTGCTGTCCAACTCTCAGCGTTCCTTCTTTCTGGAAGTTTCCAGATGTTTGCTCTTCAACTCCACCCAGGGGAGGAAAACTCTAAACTCCAATGTGTCTGCCCTTTAGTTAACTATACCTCCTGACGCAGTGCACCCTGCATTATGTGACCACTGACTGACTGACTGACTGACTGACTGACACTACTTATGCACCTTCGGCCTTTCAAGCACTGGATTTGACCATGCACATTAGGACACTTACCCAATGCTCGTTATTTAGCTATTTATTCTACTTTATTCTATTAGTTCTTCTAAATTGACCTCCTCTTGTTGTTGTTGTTATTATTATTATTATTATTATTATTATTTATTAATATTATCAGTTTGTGGATACTGCTGGATACTGTGAATTTCCCCTTGGGGATGAATAAAGCATCTATCTATCTATCTATCTATCTATCTATCTATCTATCTATCTAACTCATTTACAGATTGGTACAGTGAGAGCATGGCTTCCTGCCGTCTGGTGCTGTATTTTTGGACCCAGCAGCCTACATAAATATCTTAGTCCATCACCTGAGAATCTGTATCTCTCAATGAGATAGTCATCTCCAACAGCCAATGGGTCTGACCTGTCCCAGAAGACTCTTTCATGACTAAATGCTCGTCTGAGGATTAGGGCTTCCTCATCCAGTACATCCTCCAAGAAAGGGCAAGCCATTATGAAGAGGGAACAGGTGTGAATAGTGTATATATATATATATATTATGGCATGCCGTTTAGGAAATGAATCTTTGAATATATGGAATGAATCTTTGAATATATGGAATGAAGCTTGGATATACTGATAAAAATGTGAGAATACTGAATGAAATTCAAAACCTAGTAGTATCCTTTTCATCAAAGTGATAGCCTTCTGAATTAGCTGGTTTTACAAAATGGCATCAGTTGAAATATTACAATACTTTCTTAAACTGGAAAACTTTTTTGCTTTTTCTGTCAGGATTTAGCCTGAGGCCTGTTGTAGTCGGCCTGCCACCATTAAAAAGGAAGTGAACTTCTTCGTCAGGAGAACGGTATTGGGCACGGGTACTATGGGAAGGATTTTGGCCCGTACAAGCACTTACCAATGAGTTCATAATGTCCTCATTGCTCAGTATTGCTGCCACAAGGTTCCTGACTGACTCATTCTCACTTCTACAAGATGGCAGCAGTGCCTTGATGACCAGTCAAGTTTCATTCCATATATTCAAAGTTTCATTCCATATATTCAAAGTTTCATTTCATATATTCAAAGTTTCATTTCATATATTCAAAGTTTCATTCCATAAATTCAAAGATTAATTTCCTAAACGGCATGCCATAATATATATACTATATTGCCCTTGTCACAGATTTCATTGAAAACACCTTTGCAACTTCATCAGCTGTGTTTTGTAATCTCAATTACTGCAATAAACACATATTTAATCAATTTGACAAGCAGTCTTCATTAGCATAGCAATATAACACTTGGCCTGAGTAATAATACTTCCACTTGAATCAATATAAAAAGACTGTTGCAATTACAAACAGCCAACAGATTTAAATGAAATAAGAAATGACAATATAGGTAATATTTTAATGCAGGATATTTTTTTAAGTCCCAAAACATAAAGGATCAATGATCACAAACAGATAATTTAATAAATACAGTAATAAGTAGTAAGACATATAAAATAAAAACAGATACTTGGTTTCCATTATAATGGACTCTGCTCTGCAAACCAACTACAACAACTTCTCAATATTAGAAAGTTGTGAAAACAAATAGTTTAATAGATCACAATCAGATGAATTTTGGGCTTTGCAGAGACATTTTATTACATCCGCTAACTTTGTTTTTTCAACCAATTATTACCAAGTTAGATGCTTTTAATGTGAAGCTGCAGCTGTAGGAAATGTTGGGTGGGGGAGGGGGCTTCATGAAGCACTTTTTTCAGGAATAAAAAGTATCCAGGATGCAGCTGCAGGGACGGCTCTACAAAAGTGAAACCAGAACACCTCGATCATCCTGTTAGTTCAGGAAGCGTTTGAGTTTTCTTTGAGCCGAACATTTTATACATCAATATGATAGAAGATCATTTAAGTACTTTAGTTACATTCCTGGTTATTCCCTGAATCTTTTACTGCAAATCTTCTTCCCTTGATTACTAATAATTAGTATCTGTCTCAGTCGATCTTAATTAAGATGTTTACCTCCAGCATCCTGCAGGTTTTCTCTCCGCGCCGCAGTCTGAGGCAGCGTGTGTGTGTGTTCCCGGGCGCTGTGCGTGTTAATGAAAGAGTGGAGATGTGCGATGCGTCGCCTGAGCGTCTCGGTGTTGGCGTCTCTAAGCACGGCGAGCCAGGAAAGACAGTCTGCAGAGCCGCCGCACTCCAGGAAGACAGGAGGGTCGCCGCCCTCAAAGCCTGAACACACACACACACACACACACACACACACACACACACGTAGCTGTGAGGTTAAAGCAGCATTAGTCTCCTGAATGTGAACACCATGTTTAAAACTGTTATTACTATTACAGTAATGTCAGTCAAAAAAATGCCTCATGAAGAGGTAAAAAAAACATATATAAGTCGCACCGGACTATAAGTCGCATTTATTTATTATTATTATTTATTACTTCGGCCCATGGAATGAAAATGCTGTATGGTACAATATATACACAAATATGTCAGTATACAGTGTGCTATTACCCATTCTCAATAAATCATGACTATCACAACCACTGATGCAGACTTTCTTCAGCTCAGAAGGAAACAGTCTTTTCTACTTAATGCAACAGTTGAAACTATCTGAAACTAATGCTATTTCAAAGAAAATGCAGAAATTGTTTAATCCTACTCACCATAAACTGACATCCAACTCTGTGCTGACACTTGTTGTGAGTATTGACACTTGTAGAAACCCTCATCTGACTTTGACACTGCAGAGATATTCAGCTCCCTTCTGGTATCATTTTGAATCAGTTTCTCATTTAGATAGAAAAACACATTGGACTCAAATGTTTGTCTTCTCAATCTGCAGCTCAGACTAACAGAATCTCCCTCAGTCACAGGATGGGCAGGGCTCACCAGGATAATATCTGTTTCTGTAAAACAGTCAAAGAGTATGAGGTTTCAGTCAGATCAGCTGGTTGAGAAAATATCACACATCACTGATATATTTTACAGAGTGATCATAAAGTCTGATGTTTTATCTTTTGTACATACAACTTATGTGTCTGTAAAGTATAATTTTACCAAATAAACAGCAGGTGTCTACAAGGTTCTACAAACTACACTGAAAACTTAAGTACAGATCACCCATAAAGCTACATAAGTCTACTGTATACTACATCCAATCCTCATCATAATAAGATGATGAAATGGTTTTCAGTGTCTGTAGGAGAGATGTGTGACTGTGCTCTCTGTGGAAACAATGAGATAAAAGCTTAGACTGTAATGATGTACATGGTTAAAATTACAATAAAAGTATTTAACTGTGTTCATTAATTAATTTGATAATTATTCATATAATTGTGTTGGTGGTGGCCAGTATAAAATATTCAAAGATGATTCTTTGATTTTATACCTGATTGTAAAATAATCTTTAAAATTTAACAAATTAATTCAGAAGACAAGTGGTTTATTTTCTGGAAAACATGTTGGTGTAATTTGTTTTGTGGACTAATGCACTGCTAAATGTTAGTACTACTATTACTTTATGTTATATGGTAATTAATAATGATCAAAACTAACATTGAATGTTTATAAAATAGGCTGATATGATGAAGCAATCAGTGAACTCCTCAATGTAGATGCTGTATACAACATGATTCTAATATATGTTAAAACACATAATGTGATGTTTAAAATAATTTCTCAAAGAAAAAGAAAATGTAATGAAACCATACGCTGTATAGTGATGTTGACGGCGTTGCTGAAGTCTCCTGATCCAGACTCACACCAGTACACTGCATCACTCTGCCAGAAACTGTCTATGTTGCATGTGGATCCATTCATTGTCCCCCAGGAGGAGCAGTATGAATGGTAGCTGTTCTCAGTAAACCTCCTCACTCTCCACTCAGTAGAGTTTCCCTCACAGCTCAGTGAGACAGAGTCAGAGGTGAAGTGTTGCACTCTGTCAGGACTCACTGTGAGAGACGCTGATGGATGAAAATCTGAAAAACAACATGTAATAATGGATCAAACAGAGCACAGTGCTTTTAAGATTAATAATGTCATAATGTAAATATGTATTGTTTTTGTTTTTTATTTTTGAGGATTACGGCAAACATTGCAACCCAGTGCAGTGATTTTGGTCAAACTATGATTTCCATCTTGAAAACTTTTACGACTCAATCCATACTTACACAATATTCGCAAGCACACAGGAGAATGGGAATGCAATGTGTTAGGACCCACCAGTGTGCACAAAAGACAGACGCAGCCTCCAACAGAGCTTCCCGCTATCTGACTACCTAACCAAGAATCTAGTCTTCATGAGGAGGTACTCGGGCACTGCAGCCCGCTGGTCCAAGAAAGGCGACTAAAAAAACAGTAACCACCCCGAAACCACAGATGTCTCAATGTACACACCAATTATTTGTTAACATAGGTGTTAGTTTTCAAGACAGCTACTTTATGTTGGTCACAGACAGAAACTAGATGACATAACATCTGCTTCTTGAGAGGACAGACAGAAACAAACTGACCTCCAGACCAGACAAACTGGGATTTACTATAATCAGTGTAATACACTGGATCTCCTCTTCCAGCTCTGCACTTATATCCTGCTGTGTGTGTTGGTCCATGTACGATGTAGGAATCCTGTTCAGTCCCATTGCTGCTGCCAGGTAGCAGCTCAGAGCTGTAGTAGTATGGTAGATCAGGAACAGTCTTATACCAGAAGAACCTCCATCCAGAGTCTCCAGGACTCAGCCATAATGGAGACACAGTGAGGACAGACTGAGGTTCTGTTGGAAAGTGATTTTTCAGAATGTAAACATGTATCAATAGTGGATCAAATACATCCTGTACAATCAGTACATACAAACTTGAAGATTTACTTTACTTAAAACATATATCAACCAAACAGCCATTTAGTGAACTGTATAATATTAAAATAAATATGATGAGACTTACTGTCAAATACTGTCAATTTGATGGGATCACTCCAATCTGTTCAAGACTGTTGAGCATGTTTCATTCTGCCCTTACAGCTGTACTCTCCACTGTGGGATACAGTAGTAGACCGAATACTGTGTTCATTTTGATTTGAAGGTTTTCTTGAGCTGGTTGTTTTCCATTCATACGTCCACTCAGTGTCTCCTCCGTCCTTGATCTCACATCTGAGAGTGATCTTCTCTCCTCTGTATATTTCAGACCAGTTTGGTTGCAGAGTCACAACAGCCTTGTTTTCAACTGTTTGTGTTCATAGTCAGGATAGAAAATGACCAAAGATCAAAACATACTGTCTTTAACCTTTTATTACGGAAGCGTATTGCATTCACTTGAAAATGTATTATTTGGTTTGTTTTTCTGAGTAATTTACTTTTATGGTTGTTTTTTTCGGAATAATCTTTTTCTGATTTTCTGATAATTTTTTAGAGTTTAGAGAGCATTTCAAAAATAGACACTTTATGTGTTTATACTCTATATTCGATTTAACGGAAACAAACATGACCAGCTTGTATAGTTCAATCAAGTTTTACTTTGATCTGGGTTTAAGACACTGGGAGATAGTCCTGTCTTTAAGTTATATAGATGGTATTATCATTAGTTTGTCGACTCTACACAGGCACCTGAGGACTAGCTGAAGATGGGGCATGTATGTGCGGGCAGGAGTCACCATAGGTCCATTGGAGGTTCTCGCCAGAGTTCAAAGTATCTCGATAATTCAGAAAAAAAATTACTCCGTAAAACAAGAAAAAAAAAATTGTCAGAAAAACAAGTTTTTCAAGTGAATGCGATGCCCTTACATATTTTATCAACTAATAATTATTAATACAAAATATATTTAGTTCTGTTTCAAAAACAAATGCCAGACTCACTGTATTGATACTGATTGGATCACTGTAACTGGGTCTCCTCTTCCTCCTCTACACCAGTAGAGTTACAAAATGAGTGAGTGAGTGAGGAGGAGTGAGGGAGGGAGGGAGTTAGTTATAACTGATTGTATTACCTGTTTCTCTGCTCCCAACATCAGAGTGCTCAGTCCTCTTTTCTTCATTATTCTGTCCTGTTAATATGATCAGATAATGTGTGAAAAGCCTCTGTATGAAGGTAAAAGACTCTATAGTAAATATACAGTTTGACATCAGGGTCAATACATAAAAATGCATATTAAACTCTGAGGCACTAATCCAGTAATTTCATTATTGTAATTGATACATGGAGTAAAATGATATATACATGTAAAAACCCCAAAAGAGGAAGGAGAGAGAGAGAGAACAGAGAAAAAGACTATTGGTCACCTTCAGCATGTCCACAGAGGAGTGTATTCAGCACTAAAATAAAGATTTAAAGTTCATCAGAGGATAATAAAAGGCATTTGGCAACTACTGTTCAGACAATCAACAGTATCAAACATGTATGTGATGATTTTCTGTGAGTTATTAAAGAAGCAGGAAATACATTTAAAGAAATATATTAAAATGAAATAGATATACAAACATATATGTATATAAGCAATACATTACATTCTAAAGTTTTATACATAACAATACCATAGACCAGTGGTTCTCAACCTGGGGTCCACAGAAAAATTAGTAATATTAGATAGATTTCACCATTATTTCCTTGACTAGAAGTTTATGGCTTTATATTTGTGCCTCATTCCTGAGCAAACAATGGCAGAGCACAGAAAAATATATTTTGGAAGCAAATTATTTCTATTTTGAAGAGAAATTGTATGCAAGCAAAACATTATTTTGTTTGGGCAAATAAAAATCTATTCTGTGCTCAATGCATTTGCATGTTTGCTATTATCCATATTAACATGCAATAATAACCTCTCGCTAACTCTTGCTTGGTGCAGAGGCAGACCTCAACACACTAGGTCACATTCTCTCTCCCTTGCTCTCTTTGCCATATGAGTGCAACGGTCTGCCCAGAGCAGTTGAGCGAGTTAGTGAGAGGGCATATTATGTTCATATGGATAAAAGCAAACATGTAAATGCATTTATTATATTATCAGAGACAACATCTTATTAAATACAGGTCTGTGGCCTATATCAATTTGGCAGCAGTTGAGAATGCCTTAGATCACATACTGTACATGCATTGTGCAAATATGTGCGTAAACAATTAGCCGAAAAATAACTATTCCAGCAGTGCATTTAACACAGTCCTCCACTCTGAAACAACCAAATCAATTGATCACGTTTATGCAAACAAAACTGCTTATGTAAGACACAAAATTAGAAAGTCACTGATGTACTCACAGAATAAACCAAGCACACAGAGCAAAGTGTGCCATATACCATATACTAACATTTTATTGTTAATCTTTTCTTGCATCCACTGTGCCTGTATTGCAATTAGATTAATGTTCATGTATGTTTTTATGCAGTGCATTCAGACAATATTCAGACCCCTTTACCTTCACATTTTATGTTGGAGCCTTACGTTAAAATCATTTAATCAATGTCTAATGTCACTCAATATCCATCAAATACTGATTAAAAATGTAAATATCACATTAAAATGAGTATTCAGACCCTGTCCTATAAAACTCAGTTTGGGTACCTCCCATTATCTCATGTCATGCTTTGGCTCTCTTCACACTTATTCTGTTTGTGAGACCATTTCAGTTTTACCCAAGCTCAGTCACTTCCTGTGGGTGAAGTCACGGCCAAACTTGAAACCAAGGTTTTAACAACCCTTATTATTCACATAGCACCTTTCATGCAGCCCAGTGCTTCACATAACAACACTGACACAACACAGATAAAAAAATCTATGTATAACATTTTGAAGACCAAAAATTAATACAATAAAAACAATAAAAATCAACATCAATAAATAAAAGTAAATGTAAAAATGTAAAAACTAAGCCTGTAACATTACTGTAGACAGGTAGGCACTTTATTAATTATAAACACAACAGGCGTCATTACCCAGGACAGTTTCAGCATTCCTTGAGGGCCCAGGATCAGCACCTTGGACAGCGACAGTAACAGCAGAATGTTTTCCAAATGTTTTTCAAGATCCACCGGAGCTGAAGAACCTCAATCACAGTTGAACTTAAAATAAAAGGAAAAATATTGGGTGACATTAATAGTTCACAGTAGCTTTGTGTTCATTCAAAAGCCTCCACACAGATAAGGTCTCACTGAGGGCAGTCCCTCATAGCATTATCAAAATGCACATCCCAGCTGGGGCAGGGCCGAGTTTACGTAGGTTTCCTCTAGGTGCTCCAGTTTCTCCCACCATCATAACATGTATGTGACGTTAATTCTTTAGTCAGTGCCCTTGAGGAAGGCACTGGCTCAGATCCGCTCCTAATACAATGGGTTAAATGCAGAGGATGAATATCCCTACGGGGATCAATAAAGGATAACTTAACATTTAGTTCATGTGGGCCAAAGCCAAAGACTTAATTTGTGAAGAGGTCTGTATTAATTATTGAAAATAAGGTAACTAAATGTGACAAAAATACCAATATGAAGAAATACCAAAACACTTCAGTAGTTGTGTAGTTTTAAATGTCACAGATGCCCCTCTTCATTTGTGCCCTGATGCAATATATTCGTTATATATGTAAAACAGAATCACAACAATATATTATATTAGTTATAGTTATACAGTATGTACTGCTACAGAGCCAAAGTGTGTAGTTCTGTGCCACTGAAAACCAACTACATTACAGATACAAGTGCAACTTGTAAGTGCAACATGCTGGCTAAGAGAGGGGCAAGGACTTTATCTCCCTAGTAAACATATAGGGGTGTTGTGTGCCATCTTACAGTGTCATATGTAACCCTTAACTTAACCCTTAAACTTCAGATATAAAATACATCAAGCAGAAATCAAATAAGCAAAATACTGAAATAAACTGTTGCATGTGTTTTCTTCCATTAGGCTAAGATTATTTCTCAACTTGCGCCTAAGAAGAAACAATTGTATAAGCATGAGTGAAAAATAAACAACTTTCTTGTTCCACTTTTAACATAGATATGTGTTGCTGTGATAGCAAGAATTGGACAGTGTTATCACACATTCACACCATTGCTAAGGTGTCAGAAAAGAAGAAAAGAACACTGCAGGTTAAACACTGAGACTTCTGAGTACAATGCAAGGTAATAAACCTGTTAATAATTACATTATGACTTTCAGTTTCTGCAGCCACTGCATGCAGAGCAGTGTAAAGCCCAGACACTTTCTTCTAGTTTCTACCCACTGGTTGTGTGTAAATCACCATAATGTAAATTATAAAGATAATGTACTCATGTTTTCAGCAAGTTGCATGTTAATTTTATATACCATGATTACCTATCATTATTCTTTTTGTAGACCACACAAACATAGTCACCTTGGTATCAGCATGTATGTGTCTGTCCACTGTGATTCATACAATAAAACTCACTGACCTAAGGATCTCCCTCCTACCCTGATTCTTTGACGACTGAACTATATCCATATCTGCTGACCCAAACCAGTTAAATCCTTTAGCAATTAAAACATAATGCTGGTGCAAAAACCAACCAGTTTCAAGCATTAGTGTGGTGCTAAAGATGGAACACATCGCTACCAGGAACTGAACCCTGGGAATGGAGCAAAGCAGGGTAATATGTTTAGCTTTGAAGCAGTCAGAGGTATGAGTATAAGGGACAAGCATGTGCAAGAGTAATTCAGCTTTTTGAGTATGTGGCTCATGAGTCATCCTGACATGGCATCTTAAACTTAACTACAGCAGCTGAAGTTCTAGACTAATTGTCAGTACTTGCATTTTGTTGGTATCAACTAAGGTAGTTCAGCACCCCCTGGTGGTTGTTTATGGGAATAGCTTCCATTTTAACTACACAATGTCTGGGGTCTAACAGGTATATTGACTGACTGACATTCATGTTTTGTTTTACATTAGAGCATTTCAATCTGTGGTTGATAATGTTAATTTAAACAAACGTTTAAAAAGTTGAATACCCCATTGTTTACAGATGTAATATTGAAATAAAGCACATTTTTTATTCTTGCTACTTCAAAAGCGTCCCTCTATGCAGAGATATTTATGCAGCAAAGCCTTCATTATGGATACACTCCATACATGGACAATCTACATGTGTATTACGTATTTAGTTACATGTCCTTAATTAATAATTCTTTATAGTCAGACCACAAGATCTAGGGCTGCCATGCATGAGTCTCAGTCACTGTCAGTGGTCTCAGTGCACTCATGTACATATGCTGGGTTAACCAGTGATAAAAGGTCGGTTAAAATGACTGGATACAAAATATTAAAAAGATTAAAAAGATACTTTCTTAAAAGCACAGGACAGCACTTGCTCACACTTATATAATCTAGTGATAGACATAGTACTGACACCTTAAACTTCAGCTTTATTCCTCATGGTTTAATGATGCAGGATTTCATGAAGTGTCTCAGGTTCATTAAAGGTAGCTGGTCAGCATTTATGGGTTGTTAAGACCAGTGGAAACACAAGCAACTGGACTCAAATGCATGACAGGAGACAGGATATTGATACAGAAATACTCAGTCTTTACTTGCCAGAATGGGGTCGGTACACAGAGGGTCAGGCAGCACGAGCAAACAAATCCAAAGGAAAAAGCTGAGGCAGAGTCCAAAAACCAGGCAGACATCCAAGCACCATGGAAAACACAATACTAGCGACACAAAAGGGCTGTAAGTCAAGACACAAAGGCACAACAACAAACGGGCACAGAGGGGATGAAACACAGGCAACATACAGTGAGGAGGAAACTAATGGCACACAGGTAAACACAATCCAGGTGGGGCAAAATGGCGGGAAAAAGACAGGCAGGAAATAAAGCAAGAGGAAGACAAATACAAAATAAAATAGGAAGTAACACATGAAAAACTGATTTAAAAATAAAACACTAATATTTATGACAGACATGACACAGGTTTCTTTTGAACCCTCTAGCCAGACTGACAGAGTCACAGCTTTTCTGAGCCATGTATTCCTGTAGGCCTCAGTAGCAACAGCTTCTTTATTGATAAAATTATAACTATTGGAGACAAAATTAATGACCTCCAGCCCTCAACAGGTACTAATTTATCTTCAAACACAAGCACCTTCACAGCTGTAAACAATATTAACCTAAATCTAATCTAAACTTTAAAAATAGCAATTTCATATAGTTTTATATAGTTATAGGGCAACATGCTGATATATAAACCTTCTGTGGATATGTTTCAAGTTTTCTCACACCCCTTAAAATAAAAAAGGCTACGTGACCCCCTGTAAATCTTTGGCGACCCCCAGGTTGGGAACCACTGCTCTATAGCCTCATTGTCCCCTTCATTGCTTTTGACAAGCTTGATAGTGTCAGAAGAAAGTTACTGTGGGATGTTCTTGTCCAGTTTGGCTGTCCAGTCAAAAAAGCAAATAAAAACACAACTGACAGCTTACTGCTGGAAAAATAGTTTATTAATGTGTCAAAATGGTTTTAAGAGTACAAAAGCTATAACATTTGTTACACACAGTAACAATGAATATATATGTAAATAGACAGAAGAAAACCATAGATTGTATAATTAAAAATAGCAGTCACATAGTCTCTGTGACGTCACCCATAGGTTTCTGAAGAGCCGTTGTGAAGCTCATTGAGGTCGGCTTTGGCAGTCCTGACTCCACCGGCTCCCGGCTCATCCAAAAATGGGCAGAGATGTGAAGATATATTGTCCAACACAGATAATTACATAAATAAGTGTTGATGTCCATTGTCGATCTTTCTCATAAACACTAAAGAAGATGCTGACCTAAAAGCTGCACTATCACCTGGATACTAAAGGTTAAATATACTAGATAAAACTGTTGGAACAGCTTGCATTCTGTTTCCCACAAAAACTTTATACATAACTGTAAAACATCTAAATGCGTATGCTTTGTGCTTAAAGTAGTAACTAAATCCATATGATGTAATTATTTTATATTATCCGCTAAGAAATTAACTGTACAAAATACTGAACATGTCTGAAATTTCGATAGCTGGCTCTCTTTACAGACAAAGATATATGGTTATTAAAGACATAAGGATGCTTTTCTGACATGTTATTCTGGCTTCCACCCATTTAATTATCTGTAGAATAAGTCATTACAGTAAGCACATCAGACGGCAGCATTATTACCAAGAGCTGTTCCTGGTTTAACTTCAGAATAAACAGCGTCAGCAGTTGCTGCAGGAGGTGATTTTCCTGTGAATGGAGGGATGTTTAGTTTTAAACAACTGCCAGTAATGTCATAATTAATAAAGATAATGAGCTGAACTGACAGGTACACTGAATGACAGTA